AAAAAAAAAAACAAAAAAAAACAGCCATTGCTTTCCTTCAAGAACATGACCAGAAAGAGAGGAGGCTGTACCGCTTTTTTCTGTTTAACGGAATAGACCAGAGGTTGAATCACTTGCTCAGAAGGAGCTGGGCTCAGTGTGCTCTTCAGTCTGAGGGGGTCCAAACTTATATCTCCCACCTCCAAGAAGGGTGCCCTGACTACAGGCAACCCCCACTTAACACTGTTTCACTTAGTGCTCTTTTGCTATAACACTCATTTTAAATTGATACCCAATTTCACTTAGCACTCAGTTTCATTATAATGCTTGCAGTCACAATCTTGGGTCATTAAAAACAATTGCAGTCATCATCTTGGGCATTAAGCAAAACTGAAAGTATTTGATAACCCATTTCACTTAATGCTCGGTTTTTCAGGAACCAATTAAGAGCGCTAAGCAGGGATTGCCTGTACTAGATTACTGGCTATTCTAGGGCAGGGAGCAGGGAGCATGCTCCACCTTTCTTACTGAGATTGCCGCTACATAGATGGGGACTCAAAATGTGTTGGGCCAGAAGTAACAGGTCTGACCATCTAGGACAGGCCTTGCGGCTTTCATCTGAGCAAGGGGAGACAGATCTGGGTTTCTGTTAAAAGAACTATTTATTTTATGCCTTATTTTACATTACTGCGGCCCTAGTGGTTCAGTGCCTCGCGTCTTCTCCAGTCTGTCTACCTATGCTTCCAAAGGAAAGAGCCTCACGGCTCTTTCCTAGGCAATTGGAGATGTGGATTTGAATCCCCTCAGACTGAGGAAGACACTGAATCTGGATCTTTCACATTTGAGATACATACTTTAAGCCTGGGGTTCCCCAACTGTGGTATGCATACCCCTGGGAGTAGGCAAGACATCTCTGGGGGTACATGGGAGAAACTGTGTAATGGCAGATTTAATTTTCAGTATTATAATGACTGGTAGTTAAGGGGTTAAATATAAAAGGTATGCTGGTAGGGCTACGTGGGCAGCCAGTAAGTGGGTACACAATAAGAAAAAGTTTGGGAACCTCTGCTCTAAGCATGAAGTCAGGGGTTCTCAAAACTGTGGGTCGCAACCCCCGGGGGGGGGGGGGGG